CAGGAACTATTTTTTAACGCTTTCACCTGCATGGAAAGGCTGTGAAAATCATAAATAATAATTAACAAATTTTTGTGCATGAATTCTGTTAACAAGGAAGTATGTGAGAATGAAGGAGCTTCATAACTTGAACTTTCAAAATAACGGCTAAGATGGGCAGGACAAATACAATAGACAGGGAAGATTAGAAATGCATACAAAGTTTCAGATGGAACATCTGTAAGAAATAGACCCAAGCAAAGAAGAGAAGCTAAATTGTATCTTACAGAAATAGGGACTGGAGTCATTTGGCACAGGGCAGGGACCAGTGACAGGCTGTTGTAAACACTGTAATAAACTTTAAAATTACATAAACTGTAGGAACCATTTCTTATGGTCTCTTCTCCATGGAGTGGTTACATTATCAATAACTCAAATTTGTAGTGCATACTCTCAGTTACATATTATTATTATTATAAAATAACTGTTTTTTTCAGAACTGATACAGGTGTTTATATGCCATATGTATCAGCATTGCACAACCATTCTACACTCGCAGCACAACAAATATGGTCGAATAATAAAAGCTGCATATTTTTTTATAGTTCTCTTAACATGCAACATTTCAGTACTCTTAATTAATAGTACTAATCCCACTCTCACCTCAACGTAAGCAAAAATGTCATGTTGGTATGACTGCCAGTGGAAAATTATTACTATGTTGGAGTGACCCCTAAGACATGAAGTCAACATCAATGAAAATCTATCAGTTTAAAAATTATTCAGGGGGGGTGGCTGTATTCCCTTATAAAACAAGGAAAGTAAGGTAGAATGGAGGATAAAAAAATGCCATTCATCAGAAACAAAATAACTGGAATGCATACCTGCAAACTTTTCCACATAACATACAATGCAATTGTGTTGTCAGGGAAGAACCCAAAAGTCAAGCCCGCCAGCAAACCAGATGGAATTGCATGCAACTTTGAATCTCTGTTGAAGATTCGACGAAGCAAGCAAGACATAAGCTGAAACACAATTGTAACACATTCAACCACACTATATTTTATCTGACTACTAACCACTGTCTGTTAAGTAAATTATAACAATCATAAACATTACAAGAAATCTAACCATCCCAATCAGCTCCAGACATTCTATCAGAAAGCTGCTATGCTAGGTGACAAAAACCAGCCCGTGTACATACAACAGAAACACATTTTTGGGAAACAAATATCCACATCAAGCCGTATAGATTTGGCTAATTGTAAAAATCCTACCATAAAACACAAAGTCTGAAAAAGAGTTCACTGAAATTGTTATTCCATATATCAAAGGCATTTCTGAAAGGTTCAGATGATTAGGAATAGTTATATTAGAACCATCCTCAAATCTGACATCATACTTCAGAGCCACAACACCAATCTTTTCCACAAAACGCTGTATCTACATTATCTGATGTGAATGTAGGAACTGTTACATAGGAAAAACTATAAGACCACGGGAGGTAAAAGGAAAGAAGAAAAATAATTTTAAAACAAAGGTTAGTATAAGCACCAAATTCAACAAACATGTGTTTCACAAGAACCATAGAACATAAGTGGACCACTATATTACAGACTGAGCTCAATATAAAATACAGAAAATACAAGGGAGTGGTACACATAACCACTGAAGAGAAACCAACAAAGTACTGATTTCTCTCCATTATGATCGTCAATCAGCATGCCCTGCAGTATAAAACTGGAATGTGAATGGCATTATGCTGGGCAGGAAGATGTAGCAGATCCCTTCCCTTTGTGGAGCATTATCAATTGCTGAAAATGATGTATACCACTTAAGAGTGATGTCTGTGACAATGATTGCAGATGTTTGTCCTTTATCACCCCATGCTACCATTACAACAACCAGAAATATATCAGTGCATAACTAAAGTCAAAATTAATAAAAATAATTACCTTAAAAATTCCAGAGAATCCTCCAAGGAAAGCTCCAAGTTTAAAAGCATTCCTGTGTATCAGTAACTTTGGAAACAAACTTGGTTTCCGGATTAGCCTTTTCATCTGCATCAAGATACGGAGACACACTTGGAGACTGTATCCTAGAGCAAACAATTTTACTGCACCCTGCAATGCAAAAACAAATATAACTTTCACTCAGTGTTTATCACCTGTGATAGTGACAGTCATAGCCAAATGATTTGCACTCCTGCTTTGTTTTGGGGAGACTCCAGGTTCTTAATACCTAGTTACTACCTATTTATTTTATTTTAACTGTTAACTATAATTTATAAGTGCTAAATTACCATATACTGAACAATGTTAACTGAATCACAGAAACAGTGACAAAAAATTAGTCGGTAATAGTACACAAGTGTGCACTACGAGGGTGGCATACAAAACTAAAGATGAACAATATGTACTGTCACACCTGCTAGTGACACACCGTATTTACTTGTGTACCCCACACACACGTTTTTGAAAATAATTTACCTGTAAAATGGGGTGCATGGGATACATGAGTAAATATGGTAATTTTAATCAAGTTTTAACTTTAATAAAGAAAACAGTATACACTAAGAGTTGGAGTAGCTGAGTCAGTATAATGACTGACTACAGACTGGGGACCGGGACAGAGGATTTTTCCTCTAGCCTCCATTAATTTACCTGTAAAATGGGGTGCATGGGATACATGAGTAAATATGGTAATTTTAATCAAGTTTTAACTTTAATAAAGAAAACAGTATACACTAAGAGTTGGAGTAGCTGAGTCAGTATAATGACTGACTACAGACTGGGGACCGGGACAGAGGATTTTTCCTCTAGCCTCCATGTCCAGACAAGCTCTGGGGCCCACCCAGCCTCCTATACAATGGGTAGTTGGGTACATAGTCACAACACAATGAAAAACCAGCTGCACTTCTGTTGTTTTCAAATGTAAATAAAAGAAGAAAGAAAATAAACAAAAGCAAAGAGTTAAAAGTAAATTAAATTTGATGACCTCCATAGACAAGACATACAAGGTAATTTTAAAAATAAAACCTACTTGGGAAACACAGATTGGCCACATCATAAGAAAGCATGCTACCACCTGAGCTATCACTGACGTTGTAGAAATACTACACTTTACATGAATTATGAAGTAACAGTCAAGAAAGTAGAAAATAAAAGTGTTCTGTCTGAGGAAACTACATATATTTTAGCCATTAAGTCATAGGAGGATCCACTGCCACGCTCCAAAACCAGAGTCAAATAGGAGGATACCCTTGTTACATAGCTGCATTTCCTTCACTATCAATCTGATAGTTATACCTCCACGAGTCAATTATCTCAACTGCATCTGTGAATGGGATATACCGTGTGAAGGTAAAATAGACAGTTAGGTTGAAGGGGCTTTATACTGTGCATACAACCTCTCACATCCTAGAGTCAATCGAGTAGAAGCACCATCATACTACTACAACTTACCTCAAGAGTGTAGTATGTACAACTGAATGGATGAGAGCATGCAGTATGCCTACTGAGGCCTTGTATTTTCCTTAAAAGACTGAGGTAAATTTTGCAACAGGCAGATGGTATGACATTTATTAAACTCCTTGGCTTTCTTCCTCGTAAGTGTCTTCTGACTCTCTCGGCAGACCCAGAGCTTTGGAGCTCAGGAGGATCAACTAGGGATGGTGAATTTTCATGATTTTCTGCATAGCCAGACTCTTCATAAGGGCCAACCACAAACCTGAACAAAAGATAAAGAAGGTATTTTTATAACTTGATGTAATTAAGTTAAACATCAAATTCAGCACTGAATGTTATAATTATCTCACCTCAGGAGATTATACATAGCATCCCGTTTGGTTTGATGCCCTTTATAGAAGTAGATTAAAGCTGTCATGAAAGTTGAAAAAATTAAGACCTGACCATAAGGAACTGGCCGAACAAGACCTCTCCACGCTGCCATATGAAATAAAGTCTCTGTAGCCTGTCCAAGGAAAAATAAAGAAATTACTTCTTAGTCCTGTGAGCACCACCCACATTTCTAACAGTGCACTATTATTTCACATCTTACCACATTTGTAACATATAGTGCCAGCATGCTTCTTCGTGAGGGTCTCTCCAACAAAATGGCTACATAAGATGCAAAAAAAGCTGGCAAGAAACCAACTGTAAGCACATTAAAATGCCCAAGCAGTTTTCTGAAAAGAAAATTAATGTCAAAATAAAATATTAAAACACACTATAATTTGTTTTGGTATACCTTTCCAATGTCGCCCTCGGTGGCTAGTGGTTAGCATACTCACCACTGGACCCAAGGTGTGTGGGTCAATCCCGGCCGAGTTCGATGGATTTTTAGGGGGAAGTAAAGCCAGCGGTCCCATGTTGTAGATTTATGGCATGTAAAGGAACCTTACAAGCATGATATGAGATGTTTCACAAGCAAAATTCTGTGGAAATTTCTCAGCCAAAAAGTCTCCTGATTAACTACTAGATGGCTCTGGCAGTCACATCAGGATTGAGTAGAAATTGTGCAGTCAGTGGGCTGGTCACTCACTACTTCACGCACAACCAAGACACCTCCGGAAAGAAAGCGGCGAAAACCCACAATAGGGTTGTAGTGCCAAGAAACAATAACAACATACCTTTCCAATACGGTGACCCGTCACTTAACACTATTTAGCTCACACAGTGTTTTTACATAGTTACACTGTTTATGGAACTGAATGGAACATGTCAAATTCATGTCCTTGCTAGATGAAAGTCCCTAATGAAAAATACAGAAATTACACTACATACAATTAAAGAGACTGGCCTAAACATAAATGCAAAGAAAGCTAAGTATACATTCATATTTCACTGCCAAAGTGCAATGCAAAATAATTTAAAGGTATTTAAAAAAGCAAGGTAAGAGCATTTTGTACAAGTGTGAGGTTCTGAACCATCCACCACACAATTTCAACCTCACACTAAGTGACTTCTATCAATCCAGACCCCTGAAGGAGCACCTGGCTAGTAGGCAATTTGCAAGAATGATGTGCAGCATGCTGTCATTTCCTGGCTAAAACTGCTTGACACCAATTTCTTACATGTTGGTGTCACAGTGGGACAATGCTTAACATCTCTGGCGACTACAATGAAAAGTGATGTGTACCGAAATCTTCATATGTGTTACACATGCATCTATATATGAATAAAGTGCTTCATATATGAGTGTTTATTATCTTATTTGTAAAACTACTATCACAATGCAGGCAGCTGCATTGTGGTACACTCTTAAATTTAGGGGATGCCTGCATCCATTCAGTTTAGTCTTGTCTTTCCATCTCCTATCTAAAAAAATTAATATTTAAAGATATAACACTGCAGTTGTACCTGTTATCTTGCACGGCTGAGAAACTTTGTCTCACCCTACAAGAAAAACACAGATTGACCATGTTTGAGAACATGAAGAATATTTTAACTTAAGAAAGAAGGTGTAAGATGGTAATGGAGAAAATTACACAGTAAGAGCATCTTAAGTTTTAGTCTTCACCACATGTTATTAGGGTGATAACATTAAGAAGGAAGAGATGGGTGGGGCACACAGCACGCATGAAGAGATAAGGAATGCATACAACATTTTAGTTGAAATTTTCAAGGGAAGAGACTACTTGGGAGACCTAGGCATAGACAGAAGAGTAATATTAAAATGGATCTTAGAAGAATGGAGTTGGTATACATATGAGATTCAACTGGTTCACAAAAGGATCCAATGACAGATTCTTGTAACCTTGGTAGTAAACCTATTGGTGCCATAAGTAGAAGAGAATTCCTTGACCAGCTGAGCAACTATCAAACACTTAAGAAGAATCTGCTCCATTAAGTTAGTTAATTAGTTACATCATGAAGAAACGAATAATTGTCTTATGAAAACAAACCTCTTATTTTTATATTGACCCAACATGTTCTTATTTTATGACCAGTTTCTCGGTTATATTTAATTTAATTTATATTATGCTTGTGTTTTGATCCTGTAAACATAACACAAATTTTGCAAGTTACCTGCTTGCAGCAGATGACATCACACAGATATGTCACTGTATGGTGAAGTTTTCCTTTGTTTTTACAGATGTATAAGCATTATTACGAAACTTATTTAGTTCTTACCTGAGCCAGCATGTAAATATTGGGAATGCAAAAGCATTGGTTCCTAAAAATATGGAGGATATAAGTATTCCCACAAGAGTCTGTTTGATTTCTTTCTGTGACGGAACTCTACCTCGCATTATTAGTGCCAACTGGAAAAGTAAGTTACAGAATATTAAGAATATGCTTTCAAGTAAAAGCTATATCACATAGGACTCACTAATATAAAAATGTGGTTTATGGAAAACTGAACCACTCACAATGTCTGCATTTTATATTTCTATGTTGTCCACTACAAATAATAATAATGAATAAGAATTTCCTGGCTAGTGGAAGAATATTAAATTTCTTAAACAACTCCCTATATGGGCTTTCCCTTTAGTACCTGCCATTATTATAATAATTTTCGTTTGAATGTAAAATACTTTTTTGCTATCTGTTGAGTTTCCCTAGAAAACAATTCCATAAGATATGATCAAATGGAAGCAAGCACAGCAGACTAATTTTAAAATTTTGTTTTCATGAATGATGTGACAGTCCTCAGAACACAGCATGCTGAGCCAAAGTTTATGCACAATGTATTGAATATGTTTTCCAATGTAAGTTACTGTCTATTTGTAGGCCAAGAAATTTGTTTCTACTTCTTCAATCTTTTTAACCTCATACTCTATACATGGACTACCACAATTTTTGTCACCATTCTGTCAAAATTTAATGTAAGTTCATTGGCTTCAATCCATATGTTCAAGCTAGCAAAGACATCATTCCCGGTTAACTTCAGAGTGTTTAGTCAATTTTAAAATGAATCACAGGCACATGTTACCTAATTTCAAATAAGTATATACGCAAATAATGAATTCAGGTAATGAATACGAGTTACAAAATCATCATAACCTTATTGAACCAACCTACAAAAAAAGGCCATACTTCACCACATCCAATGACACATAAATGTTTACAAACGTATGCGTACCACATAAACTGTAACGTATATTCTGAAAGATGCTTGTACGGCATGCAATCCTAGCCCAGTTGTTGCAATGGAACATGATTCCGTCCATGGATGTACATATTCTATACAAGACGTTGGTATAGTTACGAATTTGCTGAAAACCACCATGTTTGATAACTAGGACTTGTACTCATTTTTTAATTCTGAAACTTGCTCGCTCGAATCCCGGTAACCTTGAGATAACACAAAACTGACTGTCACTGTCCAACGTCATACACTTTCCCAATTTCCTGCAAAACATTACTAATCAAAATTCAAAGTTACACATTTAACTGCGTAACAAATGAAAACTAGTCGGCGAATATTAGTCACAACTGCTGACAACATTGAAGCAATAACCAAAATTCTTGTCATGCAATGACAAAAGTTCAAACTCGCTTTCAAGCAATTAGAAATATCTTCTTTTTCTGGTCAAGGAGTTACACTGTTTCAGCCTCAACTCGATATATCATAATGGGAGCAGTTGCGAACAATGTGCATATTAATCGTCTTAGCACATTCAGCCAACTGAGCCTTTTGCGTACAAATCCCGACGTGACATTGCACACCTTCAACGTCAAAATATTACAGACGAAAGCTCCTACTTGAAGCAGTAGAATCTGTGATCCCTGAACTGTTTTGCGTGTCTAATGATGAATACATAATTTGATACCACAGATAATTCCAACAAACAGCCTATTACGTAGAATCCCACAAGGAAAACATACAACAGGAGCAGTTGGTGCATAAGTTTCGCTCCATTTCGTCTTCGTTCCTAACACATTCCAAATGCGCCTTTAGATAAACACAAGTTCAATCTGTGGTTTTATTGTTGTTAATGTGGTATACGAAACCGACTACAACCACGTTTCGATTGGAGATGGGAATGGCACAGAGCGTAACTCCAATGCTATTGTCAGGCAACACAAGGCGTATTGTACTGTGCCGCGTCAGCGAACAAGTAAACAACGGCGACGTAACAGTAGCCCAGTCGGTAAAAAGTTTATAAGACTATCTATTAACACCTCAGTATCAAATTGCACACATCATACTTCCATCTGATGGGAAGCTCATTAATCTCACTACAAAAAAATATACCCTAGTGCCACTCCACTCCTGCCTCAGAAGTTCTTGTTATGCTCACATTATTGATAAAAAGGAATTAAAAGTATGAAGGCAAGGGTGACATCCTGTGGTACAGCATTCAAAGCAAGATTCATGAAATTCCATGTCAGTTCCGAAGTTATCAAGGACAAAGACAATGTAACAGGATTAGTAATTACATGTGAGTTTGTGTAGAAATTAGATTTCTTAATAACTTGCTTTCAGATTAACTATTCTTATTAAATCAATGTTTTGTCTTTCTACATGTCACACTTGTAAACATGGTCCTCTTCTTCACTTGTGTTCAAGTCTAGTGCTTCTTCTGCCTCTGTCACACTCCACAAGCTCTCCAACACTGGATCCAACTCCATTTTTGTCTCTCATACTGTGTAATTCCTGCTTGTATGCAACTCGCTGGATATAATCATTTGGTTAGCTTGCTCACACAGTTGGATTTGCAGTAGAGTTGCCTTATGTAGCTATTCAAGACAGCCATCAAGTCTGCGTGAGCAGGGCTGAAGTTGTTCAAGTCCATACTGGGTCCTTCTGGAAATTATGAGTGACTGGTGCAGCAACAAAGATACTGAACATGCAGACCACCACCACTTACAGCTGGTTTGATGGACAAAACATGCTCTCATGGTCAAGGCAAATATACCTACCTCTCCTTCTAAAACATGTAATTGAATATCCAGAGCATTCATCAAGGATTAAATTATTTAGGTGTCATCACATTTTCCCATTCATTCTACTACATTCCTTGACAAATTATTCTTTTTAAAATAAAAGGAGCTGGGATAGCTCAGTCAGTATAGTGACTGGCTATGGGCTAGACAACTGGGGTTCAATCTCCAGCAGAGACAGAGGATTTTTCCTCTAGTCTCTGCATGCAGACCGCCTCTGGGGCCCACCCATCTTCCTATCCAATGGATACTGCAGTCCTTTCGCAGGGGTAAAGCACAGTGGGGGCATGATGCTGACCACTCACCCCCATCTGGTGCCAAGGTCAAAAATGAGTATGAGCTATACCTCTTCTTCTCCCAAGCGACCTACATGGCATGTAGCAGGACTGGTTTACTTTTATATTTAAAATAAACATAACATCCTGTTCTAAAACTGCAACTGGCACTCCTTGCTTCATCATCAGTAACTGCCAAGCTATAACTGTCTTTGTCATCTACACTTTTGGTCTCATATCACACAAACCCACAAAATATAGTTCATATGTTTTTTAGATTCCAAACCCTTTTGATCCCATTCAATGCTTTCAGAGTCTGAACATGAAGAGCAGAATTTATTATTAATGCTTTTTAAAAACATCTGCAATAACAACATCATTACAACCCCAATAAGCAGTGAACATCTCTTTAATATTCAAGGCTACTTGATCTATGAATTCTACTGAATGCAGGTAATTGTAATGCTGATATTATACTGACTGCTGTTTACTGTAAAGGCTGTGTTATGTGCAGAAATTCATTTCCATTTCAAAGTGCTGCAGACATTCCTGACAAATGCATAGCCTTACAGATTTCATCTCAACAACAAGCAAGTGAGGCACCCACATGACACAAACCTTATTCACCTGGAGATATTACTTTTCAGCCCACCTTCATAAATAGATATAACATGACTTCCTTTATTAAAAATCATATTTTTATCTTGGTAGTCTCTGATAACAACACGTTGAGATTCTGACAGTGGACATGAACGTGGAAAGGGGTACCGAACATCGATATGTCTCTTGAAAGGAATCAACCTAATAAAATTTATACTGTAACATAGACACAGTTGTCACTAAAATAGTGTGAATATTTCTGGTATACTTCAGACAATGTATAGTGAACTTACCTAAAGCTGTTGCTTGCACATATTTTAAATCTTTCTATTTCTGTTCTTTCTCTTTATCTTCACGAGGGTTTGATTCAATTCTCGACTTGATCAAATCTGATGGCATGCTGTCACATTGTAATTCATTACAATGTGATGAATGTTTGCCAATCTGGAAGGCTCCATTGTGGTTCTCTGTTATGTTCGCATTATCAGTAGATGACGAGTGCTGCACATCAGTAAATTTCATACTGTTATTGGTGACATATGTTGGAAAACTGTTTAACACTGAAAAATCTGAATTACTTTCAAAATTGTTCAGACAGTTTTTTACATATGTAGTCATTGCATTAAAAAACATTGTGGCAGATTTCAATAATTCTTCATCTTGTTTAAGTCTTTTGCACTGATTATGGAGCATTAGTTTGTCATTTTCTAATATGTGTTTAATATAATCATCTTCTACAGACTGTCTCTTGTTGAAATTTGTCCTGTAACAGCAGAGAAACATAATAAAATTACAAATTACATGAAACCAAATTCACTGACCATTGTGGTCAAGTGGTTAGCATTTCTGTCTTGTATTCAGGAAGTACCAGGTTCAGATCTCAATCCAGAGACCAACTATACAGACAAAGTTCTTCTCATAATTTTCCTCAGTCTCTCCAGGCAAATGCTGTGATAGTGTTTTAAACTGGCAACAGTCACTTCCTTCCAGATTCATGCCATGTCAATTATTCATACAATCATCCTACCATTCAACATTACATAAACCAAGCAAATGACAAGTTGCTACTACATAACTTAAGAAGAAAACTAAACCTATTTTTGGGTTTAAGTATAAGTGTAAATTTCCACATCACTAGATATATGCTTGTAAATATTACACAATAAATGAGGACAGGTGTAGTTATAACTATGGGTAAATTAAATGGCACATGTGCGAATGCTCCCTTGTAAAACTTTGGTATTCAAAGCTGTAGACCTGTCGCTCTAAATGTGTGATGTGCCTGTAGATACCTGCTTTGACTAGTGCCCTTATCAAAACTTGCACTGGGAGAGGACGACATAGATGACTGCTTGAACACTTCAAATGGTATTGGCGTTGCTGAGGTCATTCCTTGCTCATGTTCTACCTTGGTGTCAGTGAGTTCGGCTAAAGGTGTACATAAATATAAACAGAATATTTTTAAACATAAACAAACATTAAAACCTAGAATAAGGAAGTATAAGAAAAAATACATGAAGAGCCTCATAATTTCTCTTCACCTAGTAAAGTTAGAGTGATCAAATCAAGTTTTTGAAGGAAAAACCATGTAGCACATATTGTGAGAAATGCGTACAAAATTTTATTCAGAAAACATGTAGGAAAGAGACCACTTGAAGAACCAGACATAGATGAGAGGATAATATTAAAAATTCTCTAGCGACATCATATAATGTTTAATCCATTACACAAATATGATGTTGAACATAGTCCATTGCCTGAGGTATATTTAAATACACAACATTTCATGAGTTATTATTATTCCCATCTTCAGCTCATGGGATGCCATTACACTGACATAATTTATTTTTATATTAGCAGCAACAGTTGCTAACAAAATCAGGATAATTGAACAACAGGGTCATATAATGAAAACCAATCAGCAGTAGATCTAACTTCTGAAAAGGTGTGTGTTATAGATTTTTTAATAAGACAATGAACATAATTCAATACAACATTCATAAGAATAATACTAAAACTAATCTTAAAGAAATAGGGTCTGTGGGTTGAACTGGATTCATCTGACTCAGAATAAAGTTCAACAGAGGACTCTCACAAACACGGCACTGAACCTTCAGATCTGACAAAAGGTGAATCAGTAAGTACCAACATTTCAAAAAATTTCCTGCATCATGCATTAGTTATTACACTACAGAGGTGAAATTTATGACCCGACACTGCTTCCACATTTTTACCCAGAATTCTAATGTCTGATCTCATGTTGGACTAATTTTCTTTAGATTTTGCCGAATATATCCCAGTCCTCATTTATTTAATTATTTCCTCAGTTCCTTTGCCACCATATTTTGCCACTTTGTCAACTGCTTTCTAGTATATGCCATTAATCATAAATGAAACGACAGCCAACCTGTCTATAAACCACAATCCTGGAAATGATCCCTCCCACCATTAGTGCATATTCACTGCATCCACCAGTATTATCAATGACATCCTTTATAGAAATATTAAACAAATAGGTACACAAACTACAGTCATGCTTTCCAACACTTCTTTGTTCAACAGAATCTACCACTTCACACAAAAGTTGGTTTTATTAATAGACAAAACCATGGTGTCATTCACTCCTTTCGGCCTCAGTTTAGATCCTACAGATCATAACCCTAGAAGATCATTATTTCCTACTTTACTTCCGAGCCATCGTAATTTAAAACCGATCTGTGTCTGAAGCAAACTACACACTTTCAGAATTGTTACATAACTGAACTGTCTCTGCTAAATTTCACATTGTACATCTGTAACAAATCTCGTTGTACTTATACCTCGTTAAAAGATATGCATACATGCAGTAACAAAAATAAACAGTATTTAATTCAACTTACTGGTACAAAATTCATCATTAGATAATTTGACTATGTTGTCACTATCCACACTGCCATTCTCATCATCCAAACGTGACTTATTGTTTTCCACTGTAATAAATCGCAGCCAGTAGGGATTGTTGTCCAGTTGTTCTTCTGAAATTATTCGGTACATTAAACATTAGTTTCATTATATCGCTAAACAGATGGGGGACTTTTACCTGTTAGAATTACATATCTGAATTTTTTACCTGAATCAACCGTCTTCCTTATTTTGGTGAACTGT